CGGTGGCTCCATCACTCTGAGGGTGATAGGCTGTAGTCAGGTCGCTCGAGATATCGAGAAGCGCGGTAAATTCTTTCCAGAATTTCGAAGTGAATTTGCTTCCCCGATCCGAAACGATCCTGTCGGGTAACCCATACTGCGTAAAGACCTCTTTGAGGAAGACCTTGGCTAAGTCCTTAGCTGTAGAGGTTGTCGTAGTAGGGACGAACTTGACTCGCTTGGTGAATCGGTCGGTGATTACCAATATCGAGTTGAATCCTTCCGAATTTGGTAGTTCTTCCACGTGATCCATGGAAAGATCCGAATTCGGTTTAAACGGAACCGAAAGTGACTTCAATAAGCCATAAGGCTTGTGTCGATTGGTACGATCTCGCTGGCACACCTCGCAAGATGCGACGTAAGCCTTCACGAAGCTGCTCAAATCGTTCCAGTAGTAATCCCTTGAGATAAGTTCGATAGTTCGTTCTCTCCCGGGATGTCCAGCCAGCGAAGCATCGTGTCGTGCCTTCAGTACCAAGAGCTTGATCTCCTCGCAGTCAGGGACGTAGATAGTGTCCTTGTACTTGAGAATCCCGTTCTGGGTCCAGGTCCAGATTTGCTCGTCTGAAGCGGTTCCGCTTCCGGTAACCAGATCTGTTTCGTCCTGTTTCCAGATTGCTCTGAATGCCGTGGAAGCGAATTCATCAGTCAGCGCGATTGTCTTTACCTTGCTGATGATGCGGTCGATGATATCTCCATCTCCCCCTTTTTCTGGATTCGCTTCCATCCCGCGGATATACTCGTTCATCGCAGCCAGATCCTGTTCTTCAGCTCTTCGGTAAAGTTCAGAATCCCTGATGTTGTTGAGCCACAGGGTTTTGGGCAAGAGCGTAGTGAAGTTGGGCTGATTGTGTTCGAAAGAGTTAATACCTCCCCTACCTGGGTGGTAATCCGGTCGGCGTGTAAGCGAATCCGGTTTACCTCCCTTGGTTCCGGGTCGGTACCGGATTGAGAAGTTGAAATCCGCCAAAGTTTCAGCCCATCGAATCTGTCGACGATTAAGCTGCTTGTTGGTGGCAAAATATTCAAGGTTCTTGTGGTCGGTGAGGATTTCGATCGGTTTCGCCATCCCAAGCAGAATCGGCTTCCAGTGATTGAATCCTTCAACGATCGCAAGTAACTCTTTGTCGTGGACGGTATAGTTGATTTCTGCAGGGTTCAACTTCCTTGAAAAGAATCCCACCGGGTGCAACTGTTCGTCCTTGTAGCGCTGGCTAAGGATGGCAGCGATGGCGTAGTCCGAGGCATCCGTTTCAAGATAGCAAGTTTCGTCCGAATCCGCTTGAATCAAAACGGGTTCGCTTGCGAAGGACGAAAGTAGTGTAGCAAACACGCCATCCTGCTTCTCGTCCCAGATCCACGGCTCGGACTTCTTGGTTAACTTCACAAGCGGAAGTGTTAACCCAGCGTATCCTTTGATAAATCGTCGGTAATAGTTGGTAAATCCAAGAAATCGTTGAATTTCTTTGATACACGTCGGTTTGGGCCAAGTTCGGATGCACTCCAATTTGTCTTGAGCCATAGCGATTTGCCCATCCTTGATAATGTAGCCGAGGAACTCGATAGAAGACTTGAAGAACTCGCATTTCTTCGGCTTCAAATAAAGCGAAAAGGAGCGGATCCGGTTAAAAACCTCCTTGATGAGCCGAATATGTTCCTCCCTCGTTTCCGTATACACCAGAATGTCGTCGATGTATACAGTAACACCTTGGTCCAGTAGGGGGTTGAACACGTCGTTCATGAAGAACTGGAAACTGGCTCCCGCGTTGGTCATGCCCTCTCGCATGACTCGAGATTTGAATGACCCGTAGCGAGTTAGGATTGTAGTCCAGTCCTCGTCTTCTTCCCGCATTCGAAGTAACTGATATGAAGTTGGCATATCGAATTTGGAGAAGAAGCGAGCTCTGCTAACTCGTTCTAAGGTGGTGTTGATCTTCGGAAGCGGGTACGCGTTCTTCTTTGTCGCATTATTCAATGCTCGGAAATCGGTAACCATCCTGAATTCTCCAGGAGTCTTCTTTGGTACGAGGAAGACCGGGGAACCGAACCAATGCGAACTCGGTTCAATGTGCCCAATCCGCCTCGATTCGTCTATCCAATTCTTGAGCCATTTGTCTGCCGCAGCAGAGAGCGGGTAAGGCTTGAGTCGTTTCAACTCCACGTTTGGTAGCAGTTCCACAACGTGATCGTACGACCTGTGGGGAGGAAGGCTGGTGTAATCGCTCTTCCTGAATACGTCTAAGTAGTCATGAAACTCAACTGGGATCACTTGACGCATCTCTTCCGATGCGATGTCGTAATCCTCTTCGTCGTCGTGTTCCAGACCCAATTCCCGTAGCGCTCGAGGATCGACATCTGTGTCGACAACTTCCGGGTTTTGTCTTCGGAGGAACCGGTTTCGCTCCAAATATTCCAGGTTCGTTCCCTTGAGAGGCGAATCCGGCTTGATCAAACTAATTTCGCAAGTGTCCCAATCCGTGATGGTACGAAGACCCTTAACGAATGGGACTCCTAGGATAATATCCGGGGCCGCAATTTCCGCAATGTCGAAGTCGAGGGAGTAAGGACCGATGTGTCCTCCAACATAGAAGATCAGATTCACGTAATGGGTGATCTCTCCTCGCTGATTCGGGTTAGGTTGGTTATCAACCAACCGGAGTCGCTTCGGCTGATCATAAGGGATCGCCTCGACATGCTGGAGTACCTCCGCAGAGGGTCGAATGAAGTTACAGCTGGCCCCACTGTCGATCAGGGCGTCCGTCGTGAAAGAAGATGCTCCTGCATGGAAGTCCACCGTAATCAAAGGGTCTTGCCCCTGGAAGCGAAACTTGATCCATTCGGTTCGATTCGCCTGGTTCGCCCAGGTGGGAGCCGGAACTGCTTCAATTGTCGCATTTCTAGCTCGTTCGACATTAGGAGTACTTCCTCCATTTCTGCCGGCAAGAACAGGACAGGCTGAAGCGTAGTGTCCGGCCTTCCCGCAATAAGTACAAAGGTCGAGGTCGCGGCGCCTCTTCCTTTCTTCATCGGTAATAGGACCTTTCTGGTAAGGAGTCGAACCTCTGGGTTTGACGACCTCCTTTTCATAGGTTTTGGTCCGTTCGGTGACAACTCGCTCGGATCGAACCGGATTCGGTTCCTTCCTGTTATCCTTGCGAGCGTTCCGCTTCTCGTCTTCTCGGTTGAGAACCCCATCATCGTGAAGCCTATTGTCCGCGTCGACGGCCTCATTCCTGAACTCGTTGAAGTCTGCGAACTCCATCCGTTTGTTCAGGATACCGAGACGTTCCACCACCTTGGCCTTCAGTCCTTTCTTTGCTGCAGCGATAAGAGCTTCATCGTTAAAGCCACACAAGGGACTGTACTGGGTGAATTCGGAGAAGTACGACGAAGCGGATCCGGTTTGAACCAACTTGTCTAAAGCGGCTTGGGCTGCAGCTTTCTCGTTGGAGCCCCCAAAGTTATGCTTCAAGAACCTCTTGAAGGCATCGTAGTCGTGTAGGAAAAGGGGTTGGTCCGCTTCATCCAGCTGGAGATAAGACGAAACCGTTTTAAAAGCTCGTCCTCCAAGAAATCCGATAGCGAAATCGATCTTGGATCCTCCAGTGGGGTAGCGTCCAGGTAATTGTCGGAAGACCATATTAAGTTTGACGATGAATTCGTCTAACTCTTTAGCGTCTCCCTTAAACGTGGGTGGATCAGCCGGCTTCGGTTCCTTGGTCCGTTTGGCAAGCAGATCCGCTTCGTTCTCCCGAAGGGGAACGTCCCTCATAGGAGTATAGGGATCCCGGGACCGAGCTACCGAAGGTCGGTGAAGCTCTCTAGGGTCGATAGTAGTTCCCGCTAGAGATGGAGGGTTGGATGGGTAGATGTTGAACTGCCTTCGAGGAAGGGGAGCCGGAATCTCTTCTCGTGTAGCGAGTTCGTCTCTTTGTTTCCTGATCGTCTGCATGAGTTCCAGGATTTGTTCTTCGAGACGACCAATACGTTCAGAGTCCGTTTCTCTAGGAGCCGGATTCGTTTCGATTGAGCCGGTCCTGGCTCGAGAGAACCGTTGTTCTTCCTCTGGAGGCAGGTCATGGTTTTCGGAATAGCCTGACATTGTCCTAACCAGGTGCGATGAAAGAAGTTCCGATATGCTGTTACGGCGGAAGTCGCTAATGGGCGATAGGTCCTAAGTCGTAAGGCGTAGGGTGCTTAAGGTCGATCGCAGGTAGTCGGGAGAATGTCGCAAGTTCGCTTAGATGAAGCGGGTTCGGGTGCGGGATACGAATCCAGAGATGTATGGATAAGGAAGGTGATCACTCGGTGTGAGGTACCAGATTCGGTCTAAGGTAAAACGATGAAGCGTAGATACTTAGCGACGTCCTTGAGTTGTGACCTCTCCGCAACACGTCTTGAAGATGTTGTAACAAGTCAGATAGGCGTGTATTGAATGTGATATCGGAACTTGACCTCTAACTATTACAGAGCGTCCTCTATCGAATTCGGTCAAGTTCCTCTAGCTATTTATACGGAGACGAGTACGTAGACGGGCTGGCAAACACTGAAAAGACCCAAGAGAAAAGAATGGCGAGAGATGGCGAAACTGGAAGAACGAGATGGCGAACAGACGAACCCTGTCGAGAGCAGCCGGATTCGGTAGAGGAGGCGAGTTTGAGTTCTCATTTGTCCCTAGGTACGTCGAGTAAGGTTGTCAAGGTCCTGAGTAGAGTGTCGTGTACCTCGAGGTCCCTGTACCTGTTTGTGATATGTGTCGGGAAGGTTTGTTGTTTCGGTGAATGGTGAAGGCGAATGGTAGGGGCGACCGAATCTGCTCCGAGGGAATCGGATTCGCCTCGTCGAGCCGGACTTAGGTGTATGCTGATGTCCGTAGATCGAGCCTGTGTGTCGGTAGTCGACTCACGTGATGATCCCGTAACAGCAAGTCCATTGAGACGAATCCGAGGATGATTTTGCAGCCCGTACGAAACGGTTAACTCCATTTCTATTCTTGTTGACATGCTCTTTCAGTCAGTTGGATATATTGACGCTCCTGCCGATGTAGAGTGGAGCCGTAGCCTGAGTGTTGATCCGCAGTCCATAAATACCGCATGAATCGAGGAGCGTCTTGTCCGATTGGAGGCAGTCTAGAATGGTTTCGGCCGGAATGAACCCTTCTCCTCTTTGACTCTGGTCGACATAGGCTTCAGCGAGCGTGGGGTTCAAGGTGAAGGCAATAGCATGGATCGATTCGAATCGGTTGCCCTGAAGCAGATGGTGGGAGAAACTGCTCCAGCCTTCGTGTCGTAAGCGTTGGGGGCCTTCGGGATTCGGCTCTAGACGGAACGGGGTATTGTATGAAGCCAACGTGTTCATGATCCAAGGGTAAGATTCGTGTGCCGCCTGTGAAGCCTACGGAACAGGGAAGATCGGTTATCCCAATGTTCGACACAGCATCAGCGAGGTCTCGATGCTCACCTCAGGCGTAGGAGGATTATGATCCAACCACCAATCGAGCCATTCAATGGCTTCGCTGGAGTACCTCCCTATAGCGTTATCAACCAGCTCTTTGGTGGTTCTTGGCACGTTCCCGAGAAATCCGATGGCTTCGTAGCTGTAGGGAGGCGGGGAGTCTCGATCCGGTTGGTCATCGGAGGGATCACCTGCTACATTCTCTCCGTAATCCGATTGGTCGTCCCCCTCATCCGAATCTTCCTCGTCCTCTAAATCATCTGCTTCGTCGCTGTCGTCCTTATATGCTTCCTCGTCGTCGTCCTCGTACTTTACTTCTCCTGCCTCTACCTCTATCTTGTCACCGATCTTCTCTGCGGCAGCCAATATCGCTTGAACTTCATCTCGGGAGCCTTCCTTTGGGATGGCAAGGAGAGCGTTGAGACGTTTCCGGAGAATTTCGGCCTCTTCAGTCGCTTTGATACGATACGTTGCGCTTGCTGGAAGAGGCTTGGGCTTCGTCATGGCTGATACAGGCTGGTCGGGTACGAGAAAGGTAGATGGACGGAGGACACGGGCTTAGCGTTCACGCTGCCAGTACGTTCTGAGTCGGGCGGTTCTCTTACCTTGAGGCAACACACTCGACAGATTGGTCCTGGTTCCGGTCTCAGTGGTGTCAATCTCGAGATGATTTGCGCTGGGTCTCTCGAAGAGTCAGTCGTCGTCCTTGGCTGCTTCTACCGGGTCGTTTTCGTGCGGGTCCACCCAAGTGACTTTGGTGAGACTGGCGTTGTCGACGGGGGCAGACGCACGAGGTGTTCCCGGTTTTATATACGCTAGCGACGTATTACTCATTCACGATATGCGATCTAGATGAGACTTGCTAGACTTGTCGTTTACGGAATGGTCTGTTGTAGAGTCTTTGAAGAGATTCGCTGGTCGACTATTGATGTTGCTAGTTGATCGGCGCTGAGCGAGAGTTAAGGGAGTCACGAGATCGCGATTCGTCATTTATTCTCAACGTCGCTCGATCGATCAAGAGGTTGAAGCATGTTCTAGCCTCGAATCTGACGAGATTTGATCATCACCTCCTGAACAAGTTCGAACCACCCTTCAGCATACATCACCATACATCACCATACATCACAAACGTCTGGAATATACAACAAAGATGGGGAGGCCACAAGCATGTGCTGCCTGTACCCTCAGCGATAGACCCTGCCGATACCAGAAAGATAGCGTACGTCCGTCCCGTATGTCCGTACGCAAAACCTGGCCCATCAGCTAGATCTTTACAGGAGATATGCCAAGCGTGTTCGGCTGGCAGGATGGTGTGCTTTATGCCTGCGCATGTACTCAAATCCTCTGAAACTTCGAGTCGAACTGTCATGGAGTTATTGGCGGTGGAAACGTACTTTCTGGCTGGAAATGGAAAGGAGGGAAGAGCGGTGTGGAAAGTTCTCGGGGAATTCATCAGTAAGCCTGAGATGCCGCAAGCTCGTGACCCCTCATGTTTGATTATCTTGTGTTGATTATCTTGTATATGAAGGCAAGCTGTGCTACATCGACAAAGCAGACGAACAACTGAAGAGCGAAGCTATCGAGAGTTTCTTTCGGGTCCTTCACGCCACCAGAGATCAACCCCCTCATCTCTTGATGATCCTGCGAGCCAACTACAACGCCCATCCAGAATATGACGGTATCATTCAACGGCTTCAGGGGATGAAGGAAAAGGTCGGGGAAAAGAGGAAGAGGAACGACGGTGGGACCGAAAAGGAAAAGAGGAAGCGGATCTGTCAGTACTGCCCTTCTCTAGTTTCGGAGTCGGATTCGTGTATTCTGACATACGATGAACCAGGAAACAAAGGGTCTTCCTCACGCTAGAGGTCCATCCCCTCATCTTTATAGAGTCCAAGTCTGTCGTCCACGATCCTGTCGCCTTTATCATCGCATGTCATGTCACCCGTGCACAATCAAACTTAGTTACGTGCCATGGAAGAGACGGTGTGAAGCTAGATTGGAAACATACCTTTTTCGTCATATGTCCATCTATGGGCGAATTGAGCCAGACTCGCCTGCACAAAGCTGATATCAGTATTCATCAGCATCAATCGATCATCTTTCGCCGATCCTCCGTCTCTATGCTTAGACATTGAGCGCGAAAATCGAAAGGCGGACTGCCTACCTGTGCTCTCTTCCGAGGATTTGAGCAATGTTCATGGTCATGAATCGGATCGGCCATCCGTCCAGCCAGTCAACATCGCACAGCTCGATGTCGATGATAGTCAATGCTCCGCTTTGCAACCTAGGATATCGTTTGTACATTTGCTCCCATATGTGGATGGCGGAGATGGCTTGGTTGCCTTTCGTAGGACGAACGGGGGCCGAAGAAGATGCAAGTCGAGCGCATACCTGTCAGGAAGACGAAGAGGCGTGAGTCCATGCTGTTAAGGCGATATCAGAAGAAACATGATTCGGAGAGAAGGTTCGTGTTGCCTTACCTGCCAGTAGAGCTCGAGGCAGATCCGCCCTTCCTGAAATACCTCTTCTAGCACGACCGATTGGGCCATGTTCGTTCTCGGATTGAAGGTGGAGAGGTTCGGGAAACAGATATCGAGAAAGCTTCCATCTGCCAGCGCTTCTGCAATCCCTCTGACCACAGGCTCGTCGATGGATGAAGTTGTGGCGAACCCAAGATCAGTGCCTATAGACAGGCAGACCACGGTCGTGAAGTGATCCCTAATGCTGTCGGGGATAGGTTCGACCTGTATCAAAGAAAGCAAATACTACTCACGTCAATATGATATAAACGTTAGAAAAAAGGAGGAAAAGAGACTAGCCAGGTAACGCAAGAGGATGTTCCAGGATATGCCAAAAAAGTTCTGGATGCGGCGAAGCGTCTGTAAAGTGGGGCCCGCCCGTAGACGGAAGGCTCGGTGAGCGATTTGCGAGGGCGCCGTCCGAGGGAAGAAGTACCTGGATAACAGTCTGTTGCTGTTCTTCAGTCCAATATTGTCGAACTCTGTTCTCGAGGAATGTTTCAGTACCGGTATCGATCACAGTGACCGATCGAGATGAAACAGGCTGGCCTTGCGTCTGATCGACCGCTCTTGACTTTTTCAGGAACACTAGGAGCATCAGGCA